CAAAGTTAGCTGCACCTTTACAAGCTTTGATAACACATTAATGCATCAATCATTTTAATCAAAACATATCATATCATATATGCAACCCGGTATCACGGCAAGACGTGAACATGTGACGATTTACCATGCTGGGAGACACATCTAGTATTGTGATTCTTTTATTTATTATCAGCAGGAAACAAAAGCACTATGTTCAAGCTTATTTTTACTCCAATAGTAAAACTAAAAACCTTTCAGAAATATATCGATCCTCAATGTTGTTTTGATTTTCAAATTAAATGGGGGCTGTTTTAAAATGTCACATGTTAAAAAAATAACAAGTCAAACGCTTTTTCAAAATCAGTTAAAGGTTCGTACTTGTGATGCAGATCAATGTGTCACTCTGATATATCTTTCATAAAACTTCTGCACACTGCCCTTGTTTCCTTCGTTGGTAAAAAGATAAAGATGTTTGCGATGATGTTACGATGATGTTGTACTCGGATGGAAAAACAAACCAGCTGATTCTGCATGATGATTAAAAGCTAGAGTCATGTGAGTGTTTTATATCTGGTATTAATCAGACGCACACTCCACCCACACATTTCAAAGTGTTGCTCCCACTTTATTTCATGTGAACTAAATTGAACTCAATTCTGACCGTAAATAAAACAGTGGGGGGAAAAAACAATTTCAATCATTAAATATATTTTTTTGTCTGCAAGGAAATTCACACTAAAAAGCCTATGTTTTTAAAATACACCCGTGATCGTATAAGAAATTAGAACAGCATTGTGCTCCTTTAAAAAGGCTCATATCTATGTAAAAAACGTTAAAGGTCTCCTATTATACTGTTTTTCATCAATATATTAGGTCTCAGATATATACAAAACATGTCTCTGAAGTGTTTGTCTCCAAACACCAAACAGATCATTGCAGCATCCCATAATCCCCTCTGTTTCAGCCCTGTTTCAAAAGTGCTGATTCTCTGTCTGTTACTTTAGATGAAAATAAGGAGCCCCTCCCAACGCCCCTCTGAGAAATATTTGGTTAAAAAGAAAACAATGGTGCTCTAGGAGGAGATTCAGGTGATAAGGTGTGGGGGGGGGGGTTACCTTGGTTGCTGATTGGCTAATGGTTACACAAGCCAAAAAAACATTAGGACATCATAAAGTGGCCAAAATCTGATCAGCTTTCCAAAGAGGGGACACATGTTTATGTATAAAAGACGTGAAAAAGTGGATTTTGCATAATAGGTGACCTTTCAAATAAAACACCCCCAGTGTCTAGCTCATGTCCATGCTCCCTGCGGGCCCGATGCCTCCCCCCTCCCCCCCCCTGAACGCTCTGGTAGATGGAGGCCATGTCGGCATTGTTTCTGATCTGGTTTGCGAATTCGGCCATGCTGGGGCTGTGCTCCACCTCGGGCACGGCCAGCAGGGCGGCGACGGCACGCATCGCAGAGCGCCGAAGCTCCTCCTGCTTCTGAAACTCCTGCTTCACCGATCCCGCCTTCACCTGCAGGAGGAGAGTCACTGCAGTGAGGAGGGGAACTCATCTCATGCTAATTCACAAGTGTAGTCTTTAATACTACGTGCATTATGGAGTGGTGCAGGAATGAGCCCTAAAACTCTGAAAAGAGTCAGCACGTTTTTGGTTGTTAGCCTGAAATAAGGTCTGTGGTTACACAAGCTGAAGACATTTTTATTCTACGACATAAAATACGTCAGTAAATACCCAACTGGTGGATTTAAAAACAGTGGTTGCTAACAAGTGTCTAAATGAGGCGACTTAGCGTCATCACGCCCAACTTTAGCCGCCTTTAGCTTAGCGTTGGTGACGTGAAGTCATGTGAACGTTCTGTAGTTCCTTTACAGCCTAACGTTAGCTTTTTACTTCTGGAAACTGCATTTACACTTTGCATTATATATTTTATCGGAATTAAAGGTAGGGTAGGTAAGTTTGAGAAACCGGCTCGAGATCGCTAGAATTTGAAAATACACAACCGGAGAAAATCTGCCACTTCCTTACAGAGCCCCTCCTCCAACACACACGAACGCGCACATGACCAATGAGGGCACGAGATAAGTTTGTGCACAGATGGAAGGCTGTCAGGCAGGTAGGCCATCCAGTTATTTTAGCCAGGCCGGCTACAATGATTGGTCGTACTTTTTACAGTATTACGGCTTCCACAGATGAAATCTTTGTATGGATTTTTTGTCGAAGCACTTAAGATATTCATTGCTATCGGGATGTGAAGAGCATTCCATGGAATATAACAAAAAGTGTATCTCGAGCCGGTTTCTCAAACTTACCTACCCCACCTTTAAATTACTTGTGTATGTATATTACATGTATTATTGCTACTTTTACTTCAGTTAAGGATCGTAATACTTCTTGTCATTATGTTATTAGGAGGCCTATACACACATTAATATTCTACCATGTTTGCCTCTGTCTGCTTAGGAAGAAAAAATGACAACCCCATGAGCCCTGACTACATCCCCAGCCTGTTTGCGCACACGTCAGCTGGACAGTGTTATAGTGTAAATATAACCTATCTACCAATTGGATCAAATATAAAAGTCAGCCAAATTAGTATTGATACTGCAAGGAGACGTATTGTGTGAAAAGAAATGTAAGATGTTGTTTAATTGCTGATATATTTATGATCCACGTCACGTTTTCAGTTTTGGCGGCAGTGCTTCCTGTTTGTCTAGAAGTCTTCTCATGAGGGCTCTATAAATAGAGAACTACGGCAGATATGTAATATTTAATGCAGCCGAACCGTGTATTACAATGCCGTTATGTGATGACTTTCAAAGAGAAAAGCAAGCACACTCGGAATAAAGTATTATTATTTTTTTTTTTAAATGTTTTCGGATTTCACATCGCATAAACACCATATCCCAACGTGCATTGCGGCTAAACCATCGAATCACCGAGCTGAGGACCTTGCCTACTTCTGTTTCCGGTATTTTTTATGACGGATGTATTTTGTTATACACACTTTCCTTCACATTTACATTTTAATTTACATTAAAGTATTTCGTGAGGCCTTCTAAAATGTTTTTAAATATAACTACGGTTCTAGTTGAAGAGTTTGTAAATGAACATGAACCGAAGCTGTTGCCTGGCAACGCAATCGCACAACGTCACGTCCGTTAATTCCACATCCACACACATGGATTAACATCGATTTAATACATTAAAGGTGGGGTAGGTAAGTTTGAGAAACCGGCTCGAGATACACTTTTTGTTATATTCCATGGAATGCTCTTAACATCCCGATAGCAATGAATATCTTAAGTGCTTTGACAAAAAATCCATAAAAAAATGTCATCTGTGGAAGCCGTAGTACTGTAAAAAGCACGACCAATCATTTTAGCCGGCCCGGCTAAAATAAGTGGATGGCCTACCTGCCTGTCAGCCTTCCATCTGTGCACAAACTTATCTCGTGCCCTCATTGGTCATGTGCGCGTTCGTGTGTGTTGGAGGAGGGGCTCTGTAAGGAAGTGGCAGATTTTTTCCGGCTGTGTATTTTCAAATGATTGCGCACTCGAGCTGGTTTCTCCAAAATGACCTACCCCACCTTTAATGTAGCCTTTGTTTCTGCTAAAAGAGGTGTCGACCAGCTGGGGCAACAAGAAAATCGGCGAAATCGAGTGTGACTATTACAAAATAATTCATTATTATATTAATATTGACAATAACAACCGACCTTCGGGGTAGCATTTGCTTGGCATTTCCGGGTATATCTCCACTGGTTGGGCCATGTTAACAATACCGTGTAACTGTCACGTTTGAAGGGACGAAATCGTGCCATCTTCACGTCTCCCAGCATGGTAAATCGTCACATGTTCACGTCTTGCCGTGATACTGGGTTGCATTTTTCACATCTAGTATTGTGATTCTTTTATTTATTATCAGCAGGAAACAAAAGCACTATGTTCAAGCTTATTTTTACTCCAATAGTAAAACTAAAAACCTTTCAGAAATATATCGATCCTCAATGTTGTTTTGATTTTCAAATTAAATGGGGGCTGTTTTAAAATGTCACATGTTAAAAAAATAACAAGTCAAACGCTTTTTCAAAATCAGTTAAAGGTTCGTACTTGTGATGCAGATCAATGTGTCACTCTAATATATCTTTTATAAAACTTCTGCACACTGCCCTTGTTTCCTTCGTTGGTAAAAAGATAAAGATGTTTGCGATGATGTTACGATGATGTTGTACTCGGATGGAAAAACAAACCAGCTGATTCTGCATGATGATAAAAAGCTAGAGTCATGTGAGTGTTTTATATCTGGTGTTAATCAGACGCACACTCCACCCACACATTTCAAAGTGTTGCTCCCACTTTATTTCATGTGAACTAAATTGAACTAAATTCTGACCGTAAATAAAACAGTGGGGGGAAAAAACAATGTCAATCATTAAATATATTTTTTTGTCTGCAAGGAAATTCACACTAAAAAGCCTATGTTTTTAAAATACACCCGTGATCGTATAAGAAATTAGAACAGCATTGTGCTCCTTTAAAAAGGCTCATATCTATGTAAAAAACGTTAAAGGTCTCCTATTATACTGTTTTTCATCAATATATTAGGTCTCAGATATATACAAAACATGTCTCTGAAGTGTTTGTCTCCAAACACCAAACAGATCATTGCAGCATCCCATAATCCCCTCTGTTTCAGCCCTGTTTCAAAAGTGCTGATTCTCTGTCTGTTACTTTAGATGAAAATAAGGAGCCACTCCCAACGCCCCTCTGAGAAATATTTGGTTAAAAAGAAAACAATGGTGCTCAAGGAGGAGATTCAGGTGATAAGGTGTGGGGGGGGGGTTACCTTGGTTGCTGATTGGCTAATGGTTACACACGCCAAAAAAACATTAGGACATCATAAAGTGGCCAAAATCTGATCAGCTTTCCAAAGAGGGGACACATGTTTATGTATAAAAGACGTGAAAAAGTGGATTTTGCATAATAGGTGACCTTTCAAATAAAACACCCCCAGTGTCTAGCTCATGTCCATGCTCCCTGCGGGCCCGATGCCTCCCCCTCCCCCCCCTGAACGCTCTGGTAGATAGAGGCCATGTCGGCGTTGTTTCTGATCTGGTTTGCAAAGTCGGCCATGCTGGGGCTGTGCTCCACCTCGGGCACGGCCAGCAGGGCGGCGACGGCACGCATCGCAGAGCGCCGAAGCTCCTCCTGCTTCTCAAACTCCTGCTTCACCGATCCCGCCTTCACCTGCAGGAGGAGAGTCACTGCAGTGAGGAGGGGAACTCATCTCATGCTAATTCACAAGTGTAGTCTTTAATACTACGTGCATTATGGAGTGGTGCAGGAATGAGCCCTAAAACTCTGAAAAGAGTCAGCACGTTTTTGGTTGTTAGCCTGAAATAAGGTCTGTGGTTACACAAGCTGAAGACATTTTTATTCTACGACATAAAATACGTCAGTAAATACCCAACTGGTGGATTTAAAAACAGTGGTTGCTAACAAGTGTCTAAATGAGGCGACTTAGCGTCATCACGCCCAACTTTAGCCGCCTTTAGCTTAGCGTTGGTGACGTGAAGTCATGTGAACGTTCTGTAGTTCCTTTACAGCCTAACGTTAGCTTTTTACTTCTGGAAACTGCATTTACACTTTGCATTATATATTTTATCGGAATTAAAGGTAGGGTAGGTAAGTTTGAGAAACCGGCTCGAGATCGCTAGAATTTGAAAATACACAACCGGAGAAAATCTGCCACTTCCTTACAGAGCCCCTCCTCCAACACACACGAACGCGCACATGACCAATGAGGGCACGAGATAAGTTTGTGCACAGATGGAAGGCTGTCAGGCAGGTAGGCCATCCAGTTATTTTAGCCAGGCCGGCTACAATGATTGGTCGTACTTTTTACAGTATTACGGCTTCCACAGATGAAATCTTTGTATGGATTTTTTGTCAAAGCACTTAAGATATTCATTGCTATCGGGATGTGAAGAGCATTCCATGGAATATAACAAAAAGTGTATCTCGAGCCGGTTTCTCAAACTTACCTACCCCACCTTTAAATTACTTGTGTATGTATATTACATGTATTATTGCTACTTTTACTTCAGTTAAGGATCGTAATACTTCTTGTCATTATGTTATTAGGAGGCCTATACACACATTAATATTCTACCATGTTTGCCTCTGTCTGCTTAGGAAGAAAAAATGACAACCCCATGAGCCCTGACTACATCCCCAGCCTGTTTGCGCACACGTCAGCTGGACAGTGTTATAGTGTAAATATAACCTATCTACCAATTGGATCAAATATAAAAGTCAGCCAAATTAGTATGCTATCGGGATGTTAAGAGCATTCCATGGAATATAACAAAAAGTGTATCTCGAGCCGGTTTCTCAAACTTACCTACCCTACCTTTAACACACAAAGAATACATTGTAAATATATAAACACTATCTGCCCCATGTAAAGCTCTTGTAAAGTAATGAGTATTATTGTGAACATGAATGTTAAAGTTTTGTATCTTTATCGTTTCTGTCATTCTAATTTAGTTAAAAATACGAACATTGACCATTGTATCCCTTTATTGCAAATGTTTTTTTACCTCTTATGTTTATATAAATGAATAAAAGTGGAATATTGCATATTGCATTGTAAATTACTTGAGTAATTGGTACTTTCCACTATGAGTTTTGCGTGTATAATCAGGCTGTTTAAAAGTTGACGTGGTTGTTTTTAAGGAGCAGAAAGCTGCACATAACTCTGATGTGATCTTTTATAATTGTATTTCCTCAATGTGTTGCACCAACCCTGATGTCGTAGTGATCTTTGAGTCCCTCCTCCACGTGGTCCAGGAACAGCAGGACGTCCAGCCCCTCCATGCAGCTGTCCAGCAGAGTGTACATGCACTCGAACGCAGCCTTACGGACGTCCAGACCGTCGTCCACCGTGTGTTTGAATGGACCCATCTCCACCTGCAGAGGAGAAACAGGTTCAGCACCAAGATACAGGTTTTAGTGCATGTTAATGGTCTGCAAAGGCTACAATCCCAGGGAGGTTTTTTCTCAAAGCAATGATAAACCTGTGAGTTGGATGTAGAAAAGTCAGAATCAATATAGATTTTTTTATTTTAAAGTAAATTCAGATTGAACATAGTAAAAAAATGTAAATTATAGTGTCCGTCCAAAAAAAAACGTATAGTATACTTATTTATAGTGAAAACCACCCTTGAATGATGGGATCGGAGACTATATGATATCAAGATTGATGCAAAACAAGTGACAATTGACCTTTTTAGAGAGATTTAGAAAAATAAAACACCTCTGGGGTCATTTGGGTGCATTTTCCATATCTCTGGCCCCCCTCGGTCGATTTTGATGAGACACAGCAGCAATGAGGAAAGACCAGGCAGGGAATTATAATATCTACTAAATGTATGACCATCATTTCAGCTCATTCATTTTTGATGTTATTTACATTGAGATCCAGATCAGACTTCAGGAATTACACACAGATATTAGGATGTTGGGACCTGAATCCTGACATCCACTCGATCATCCACTTTGCTTATTGTTGGAAATCGTGATGAAAGACATTTTGTTTTTACTTTTGTAAGCAGATACATCATTAAGCAACTTATATTTCATGTTAAACGTATTGATAGTGTGTCAGAACAGCAGGTTTAATTGTTACAGTAGGGGAGACTGAAAGTGTTACATCTCGATTACACAAAAGAGAACTAACTTGTGAAAATTCAGTCTGCTACTTTTGGTCAACCAAACGTTATTCGACTACACATGATGCTCGATTTGCTCCTTGCTGAAGACGAGGTCGGAATCAGAGCCTTGTGGTGAAAACAGCTAGTTAAGTTTTGTTTCTATAGCTACATCCCCCCACACATGCTGTCATCTGATTGGTTGTGCATCGAAAGTTCAGCAGTAAACGTTGTCGAGGTTTAAATAATCTTTACTTTGATCACAGCGCCTTGCTTTATAGAAACACAACGGCAACTTGCTTTTTTATTGATAATAAAAATGGTATACCTTTGAATCGAGTGGTCTTAATTATCCTACAGTTGATATTGCAGATGTATATATGGCACAACACAATAGTTACAAAGTGCTTTACTGAGAGAAGCAAAAATAAATTAATAGAACACAAAATGTATAAAAAAGCAGAAGTTTCTGACAGCTCTAGATTTGCTCCTTGGAGACTTTATAGGTGCTTTTCAAAGAGCTACATTAGTAAAGTTACCTTTTTTACTCATTTGAACCTCAGGCTTGACATCATGTACGTTTTTCTGTTTGTATGTTTTTTTGTAAAATATGTTTTTTTAAATAAACATTCCTGATATCACATTAATTCTTCTTCAAAACAATAAAGGGAAGAACATTTCTCCTACACTCTCATCTAGTTTTCACAAACCTTTCTAACTCTATAGGGCTCAAACCTCATTATCTAGAACAGTTCCCTAAACAACCATAACCAATATTAAAATAACACAGGGAACTACTTAGTGACATTGTTTAACTTTACATTTGCATTGTGATGAACAGTAATGCTCGGATGTTGCTTAAATTGCTTTGAAAAAGTGCAATGTTGAACCAAGTTCATTTTGATCGTGAAGTCCAGGGCTAGTGATACATTGATTAACAGTTAGGAACAACAATCTGTTTGAGCACAAGCTATGGGGTTGATAGTAATAACGCTGTCAAATACAAAAACACACGGACGACAGAAGAAAGATGAAGGAAGAAGATAGGAAGGGGGGCGGGTATTTTAGCTAACCTAACATATCATTTCAGGAAACTCAGCTGTGATCAATATCAACGCACAGATAAAAACAAGTTACAGAAGTAGTGCAGAGAATATTCTCACTGAAGATTTCAGCATCCAAGATCATCACAATGAGGAGCTTTCTGCTGTTCCTCTCGCTCATTACAGGTAAAATATTACTTCTGTCTGAATCCTGATATCAGAGACTTTCTGATTCTCGTTGAGAGTATTTAAATGAACAAATCAGTTCCAAATAACCTATCATTCAAGGCTTTGACGTATTTCATGTAAATCTGCAGCTATAAGAGCCGATTTTGTGATATTCCGTTTTCTTTGTTTTCGTAGTATTGCCAGGTCCGATTGTTTTGTTGTTAAACTGTTTCTTTCATCAGCTTTTCGGAAATAAAAGCTTATTTTTGGTTATCTATTTCTGACTCACTTTTACTGCGTTTGAGTCCGACATCCGGCCAAAGCCCTGACATAAAGTCTGTGCTCATTTGTAAGAATAAGAGGCCGTTAAATACATGTTTATAATTGATGGATATCACTCATTATTAATACATCCACAAATCAAAGCCTGTATGACCAGCTACAGATTATTATTTAATATTTTCAGACACCATGGACCGAATAGACCCACTGAAAATGTTAAAACTTTCTAATTTAGTCCAGAGTATATCAGCCTCTAAACAACAGAAACACAATTAACTATGTAGAGGTTATTTGGGAGAAATCATTTACTTGTTATCATGTTTAAACTCTTTTAAATTCTTTTATTATAGTTGCCTATTACACATCCAATAAAAGGAGTAACAAATAATGTATTATAATTAGAGTCTCATTATTTTATCATAGCAGTTAAAAGCTGTAACAACAAACTGATCTATTCATTAATCCTGAAAGTGTGTCCTGAGATAGTTTGAGAATCTGACATGTTGTGAACTTTTCTCTCTACAGGCTGTGAGGCCTCTAATGTGTGGGGATGCATTGATGGATGGGTTGATTTCACCTTGGATTACCCTAAACCAAATGAAACATATTCAAGTATTGATGTAGTTAGAGGTGGAAAAACAATCATTCAAATCACTCAGAATGACACGTGGGAAAACAAAGAACGCTTTTCCGTGTACCATGATGCAAAAAATAAAAGTCTCAGCGTGGGCATCAAACCGATTACACGGGATCACTATGGGTGGTACAAGTTTAAATTTAAACCTGACCGAAAATCTCACTCCAATGAAGCAGTTAATTTGATAGTTGGTAAGTAATGCAGCATCTTTTATTATTAGTCCCTTTTATCTTTTTTAAGTGTGTTAAAGACTAACCACATCCTCAAATAACTAAGGTAACATGCATGCAAACTTCAACAATTTAATTACACATTGAGTCATTTACATAACGATCAAGTGAGACAAAATGGAAATCAAGTTTAAGTTTTACCTTTGTTTTTATTTGCAGATCCCGACTGCAACACACCATTAAATCAAACTGCGTACAGAACAGCTCAAACCACCATCCAATGTAGAAAGACAGAGATCACTCCAGACTCCAGGTTCAAGTTTTTCTGCAAAGAGAACGGTTCAATCTGTGAAGATATTTTATCAACAAAATCAGCTCTGAGGTCAAACGGGACGTTCACTCTCACAGAAACAGAGAGTCGCTTCATTGTGTCGATCAGTAATGTGTCCACTCAGCACGGAGTCTACTGGTGTGGAGTGGAATCAACTGAAGGAAGTTACAGAGCTGCTCTCAGGAAAATACGGCTGGAGGTGGAAGGTGAGAAACTAAATATCTGACCTTTATGTTTGTTTACCCAACAAAAGAAATATACAAATGTACCTCCTAACAACTTTTATGCTGACTGAAGCTTATAGTATCAGATTGCATTTTCTGAGAGTTGTGGTTAGAGAGCATTTTTGACAACTAAAACCTGCTTCTTTTTGCTATTTTCTGTGAAATTCCTGCATTATATTTTCTTTGTTGTGTGTTTGTAGATGGCCCTCCTATCGTCATCATCTGCGTAGCCGCTCTGCTGCTGCTGCTGTTTGTGATCATTTTGATCCTGATCTACAAACGTAAGCATTACTACCAGTTTGAAACATGTTAATCATAGACATGATACACTCAGAACCACAGTCACGACAGCTCCATCCTGTAAGCATCTGATTACTTAAAGGCTAAGTAGATTAAAGACTTTAGTTTGTTTTACGTCTTGAAGTTGATTTTTATTCTACAGACAATATTACTCCAAATAGTCAATTACAAAATGATCACTTCTATACTGAATAGTGCAGCAGATTAATTAGGAACACAGAAAGTCCACTGTGTCTCAATTTAAAGTGGACTTATCATGCTATATTTTAATAATATAGTGTAGGACCATACCTATATAAGGCATATTTATACTTTTTTTTTTCCAAAATACCAAACAGATCATGCATTTTAGCCTTGCCTCATTTCGCTCAATTTGCACTTTTTTAGCCCTGTTTTTGCAAGGGTTGATTCTGTGAGAACAGCACCACCTACAGGCCTGGCATATGTACTACAGCGTCTCCAGCGCTTTTGAACGGCAATGGCCGTGGTTGTCTCCTCCTGATTGGTGGAGTTGGCCCAATAGTCGTAGCGCCACCGTACTGACGTCAGGACAGTGTTCAAATCTGGATCAGTTTTTATCAGATCCGTTGCAGCCCCTTTTTTAGAGATTTGGGTATGGAGGAAAATAGAGAGGGTTGTGTTTTCTGACACTTGGTGAGTTCCCTGGAACACCGGGGACACATATTCATGTATAAAAGACGTACAAAAGTGCATTTTGCATGATAGGTCCCCTTTAATGAAAGTGTTGGAATAACTAAATGTATGTTTTTTTTGCCTGTTTATGTTTACTTTGTTCTCTGATTTATTTTTTCAGCTAGGATATTCCAAATCCAAGAGAAATGCCGCAGCAGAACAGCACGTCACACAGGTGCGTTTATTAATACACTTTGTGGTAATGTAAAGCTGGTTGTAGGAGCCTTATTAATCAAGTGTTATGTTTGGGTTCAATCACAGTTGTGTGTCATTTATTGTGCGTGCCATGCGGTGTTGCTGTCCTATTGGCTAGCGCACAGGTGTTCAGATAATTGGGTGTGTTTGACTCAAGAAGGCATTTGGTTTTTGACCGCCTTGGCGCGAGTGCGTGAACTCCACAATATTAGTTTTCTGGAGAATAAATGGAATTTGATGCATATGAGAAAATAACAGAATAGCATTAAGCTGCAAACGGTGACGAGCCTGCCGACTATTGAAGAACAACAACACACGGTTTCTTATCCACACTGTATAGCCCGTCCGTTTAGTATTAGGCTAAAGCTCCTACACTCATGTTTATATTCCTGTAAACAATGAGCAAAAGGTAAACTATGAATACCCCAATGATGCCAGACTCAAGGTTCTTCTTTGTTTTGAAAAAAAAAGTCTATACTTGTCGTATTTTTTTATTATTATTATTAACACACTGTTGAGTAGCTACAAAAAAAATGTTCATTATATAATATATTTAGAGTATGTACAGTGGAGGAAATAAGTATTTGATCCCTTGCAGATTTTGTAAGTTTGCACACTTACAAAGAAATTAACAGTCTATAATTTGAAAGGTAGGTTTAGATAAACAGAGAGAAAGAATATTAAAAATAAAATCCAAAAATTGACATCATATAAAAGATAATAATTGATTTGCATTTAACTGTGGGAAATAAGTATTTGATCCCCTTGCAAAACATGTCTTAGTACTTGGTATGACATTATTTCCTAAGTTATTATTTGATGTGCACAAGGAAATCTACATATCTGAAGTTACTTTAAAAGTGTTGATGAAGTTGAAAAGTTGAATTGGATGAATTGTGTTCTCTATTCTTTCCTGGAAGGATTATATCTACGAGGAGATACAGGATCGCCCCCAGAAGCCAGACTCAGGACATTCATCAACCACGATTTATTCCACTGCCAACTTTCCCACAAACCCCTCTGCCTCGCTGCGTTACTCTACCATCTACTTTAGAAACGGCTCTGGTGAAGCTGCTGAGGTACTGATGACCAATCCCAGCTCCTCTGCATGTGATTATTCTGCTGTGAAGGACGGAGAGATACCAACCTACTCTAATGTGAACCAGCCCTCTCCAGAGGATCCTCTCTACTCTAACGTCAACAAGACACAGCAGCAATGAGGAAAGACCAGGCAGGGAATTATAATATCTACTAAATGTATGCCCATCATTTCAGCTCATTCATTTTTGATGTTATTTACAGTGAGATCCAGATCAGACTTCAGGAATTACACACAGACATTAGGATGTTGGGACCTGAATCCTGACATTCACTCAATTTTATTGTTGGAAATCGTGAAGAATGGACTGGAAAATTATTTGAAAGAGGTTTTTGAATTCACTTTTGTAAGCAGATACATCATTAGGCAACTTATATTTCATGTCAGACGTATTGATACTGTGTCAGAACAGCAGATGTAATTGTTACAGTAGGGAAGACTGAAAGTGTAAAATCTCAAATGCACATAAGAGAACTAACTTGTGAAAGTACAAGCTGCCACTTATAGTCAACCAAACGTTATTCAAATAAAAAAGCCTTAAGCTGCATTCAAATGATGCTCGATTTGCTTCTTGCTGAACACAAGGTTGGACACAGAGCCTCTTGGTGAAAACAGCTAGTTAAGTTTTGTTTCTATATAGCTACTTCCCCACTTAATATAGCGGTCGTCTGATCGGTTGTGCATCGAAAGGTCAGCAGTAAACGTTGTCGAGGTTTAAATAATCTTTACTTTGATCACAGCGCCTTGCTTTATAGAAACACAACGGCAACTTGCTTTTATATTGATAATAAAAAAGGTATACCTTTGAATCGAGTGGTCTTAATTATCCTACAGTTGATATTGCAGATGTGTATATGGCACCAAACAATAGTTACAAAGTGCTTTACTGAGAGAAGCTAAAATAAATTAATAGAACACAAAATGTATAAAAAAGCAGAAGTTTCTGACAGCTCTAGATTTGCTCCTTGGAGACTTTATAGGTGCTTTTCAAAGAGCTACATTAGTAAAGTGACCTTTTTTACTCATTTGATCCTCAGGCCTGACATCATGTACGTTTTTCTGTTTGTATGTTTTTTTGTGAAAGAAGTTTTTTTAAATTTTAAATTCTTCTTCAAAACAATAAAGGGAAGAACATTTCTCCTACACTCTCATCTAGTTTTCACAAACCTTTCTAACTCTATAGGGGTCAAACCTCATTATCTAGAACAGTTCCCTAAACAACCATAACCAATATTAAAATAACACAGGGAACTACTTAGTGACATTGTTTAACTTTACATTTGCATTGTGATGAACAGTAATGCTCGGATGTTGCTTAAATTGCTTTGAAAAAGTGCAATGTTGAACCAAGTTCATTTTGATCGTGAAGTCCAGGGCTAGTGATACATTGATTAACAGTTAGGAACAACAATCTGTTTGAGCACAAGCTATGGGGTTGATAGTAATAACGCTGTCAAATACAAAAACACACGGACGACAGAAGAAAGATGAAGGAAGAAGATAGGAAGGGGGGCGGGTATTTTAGCTAACCTAACATATCATTTCAGGAAACTCAGCTGTGATCAATATCAACGCACAGATAAAAACAAGTTACAGAAGTAGTGCAGAGAATATTCTCACTGAAGATTTCAGCATCCAAGATCATCACAATGAGGAGCTTTCTGCTGTTCCTCTCGCTCATTATATGACTTCTGTCTGAATCCTGATATCAGAGACTTTCTGATTCTCATTGAGAGTATTTAAATGAACAAATCAGTTCCAAATAACCTATCATTAAAGGCTTTGACGTATTTCATGTAAATCTGCAGCTATCAGAGCCGATTTTGTGATATCTTGTTTTTTTTAGTTTTCGTCCTATTGCCCGGTCCGATTGTTTTGTTGTTAAACTGTTTCTTTCATCAGCTTTTCGTAAATAAAAGCTTATTTTTGGTTATCTATTTCTGACTCACTTTTACTGCGTTTGAGTCCGACATCCGGCCAAAGCCCCGACATAAAGTCTGTGCTCATTTGTAAGAAGAGGCCGTTAAATACATGTTTATAATTGATGGATATCACTCATTATTAATACATCCACAAATCAAAGCCTGTATGACCAGCTACAGATTATTATTTAATATTTTCAGACACCATGGACCGAATAGAGCCACTGAAAATGAAAAAAGTTCTAATTTAGTCCAGTGTATATCAGCCTCTAAACAACAGGAACATAATCTGTATTAACTATGTAGAGTTTATTTGGGAGAAATAATGTACTTGTTATCATCTTTAAAGTTGGCAAACTGTAAATGCTTACATTATAGTTGCCTATTACACATCCAATAAAAGGAGTAACAAATAATGTATTATAATTAGAGTCTCATTATTTCATCATAGCAGTTAAAAGCTGTACCAACAAAATTATCTATTCATTAATCCTGAAAGTGTGTCCTGAGATAGTTTGAGAATCTGACATGTTGTGAACTTTTCTCTCTACAGGCTGTGAGGCCTCTTATGTGTGGGGATGCAGAGGTGGATGGGTTAATTTGACCTTGGATTACCCTGAACCAAATGAAACATATACAAGTATTGATGTAGTTGCAGATGGAAAAAAAATCATTCAAATCACTCAAAATGACACGTGGGAAAACAAAGAACGCTTTTCCGTGTACCATGATGCAAAAAATAAAAGTCTCAGGGTGGGCATCAAACCGATTTCACAAGATGACTATGGGATGTACAAGTTTACATTTAATCTTGACCAACAATCTGACTCCAAAAGAGAACTTGGTAGGTAATGCTGCATCTTTTATAATTAGTCCCTTTTATCTTTTGTTACTGTGTTAAAGACTAACCACATTTTCCAATAACTAAGGTAACATGCATGCAAACGTAAAACATATGATTCCACCCTCAGTCATCTGCATAACTATCCAGTTAGACAACATGGAAATCAGTTTGCTATAATGCCCAAACAACGGAGAGAGAAGTTTGACTTTTCTTATTTTTAGTTGCAGATGAAGGCTGCGAAGGACCATTAAATCAAACTGCGTACAGAACAGCTAAAACGACCATATCATGTGGAAAGAAAAGGATCACTCCAGAATCCAGAGTCAAGTTTTTCTGGAATGGAGACATGTTGAAAGTTTTTGTCACTTCATGCCCTCGAGGCATTTTGTTTAATTATTTTTTGCTTAATTATTTGTCATTTTTCAAGCTAAGAGATGTTTTCCTACGTTTGTCATGAAAGGTTATGTCTCAGGAATGTAGGGTTTGGGAATTATGGCAGTTTTAAAAAAAAATATGAAGGCAAATTTCAAGATTTCCTACCCTCTAGCTGTGACATCACGCACTCTAGTTAATGTTAAAATCTGAAGAAAGCCTCTTTACCAAGGTCTGAACAATGTTTAATATCTCTAAAAGTAAGAATCAGATTTAAAAGTTGTGTTACACGAATAATGTCAGAAAGATGTGTAACATTTTAAAGTTGGAATGAGGTTTCTGAGTGAAAGTATGAATGAACAGTTAGCAGTTGAAATCGCATGAAGATTGTTCAAGTCTGAAGATTTTCTTCATTGACTTCAATGGTTAAAAATGTGATGAATTATGGGATGTATCTCTGGAATTATGAAAATTATGAATAATCCAAATTATAGCCATCGATTCCCGACCGAGCTGAACGTTTTGATGTTTGAACGGAGTTTCTGCGATGTTGAATGCAGGAGGTGAAGAGGTGCAAAATTCCGGCGGAATAATAATAATTTTGTCCGTAGAATAACATATAAACCAGAGGATTGTGGAGCAGCCTCTGAGTAAGCTCAGTGTGAGGGGCGCGGCCTCCCCTCCGGCTCCCTGCTGCTGTCTCTGCTCTCTGAGTCTGTACCGGGAGGACCGAGCGCTCCGTCCATCCACAGCGGCGGAGATGGCGGACCCCGCAGCGGAGACCACCATCAAGGTGGTGTGCCGGTTCAGGCCGCTGAACCGCTCGGAGTTGGCCCGGGGAGACATATACGTCCCGAAGTTTCAAGGGGAGGACTGTGTGCAAATGGGGGTGAGTGTGTTTCTCTCTTCTCAGCTCTGGGGTGAAAAGCTTAGAGGGCTATACTTCTTCCACTTTTCATTACGGGAATGTCAGGAAAATTATCTCTAATTGAGTGTTTTAACTGTAGCCTATATCAAGTATTGCTGCTAAATATTTCCCTTTTCTGCTTTTTATGTCTCTTCAAGTGTTTCAAATACCATTTAAAACAGTAGTTAATTTGATAACATGGAAGTGATTTGAGCTCTGGTTCCAACATGGACAAAACTTAAAACCAGACTCTTGATTGAATGTGACTTTCCAACACATTTTTTGAATCACTCGGCATCACTTTACTGCAAAGAAATAACATTGTATAATGTATTATTTATGTTGCTTTACATTTTTCCAAAGTACTTTAAACTGTGGTGTTTTAGTCGTGTTTTTACTTCAGTAAAGTTTAGGCCTAGCTTATACAGCTTTTCAGGCGGTCGATAATGTCATCATGACTTAGAAGGGAAGACATTTAAACACCGTGTAAATAAATGTTGTCAGCCTTTTCCCATCTTTAACCAGTATAAAGTTCCATCACTCAAGCTTAAACTTGCCAGTTTAACACATGTTCAACCGGTTCACCTGTGCCTTTTTTTTTTTTTTAGCTCCACCTGCATTCAATTAGCTCAGCAGAAAGCTAATTGAATGTTAGGCCTGCTGCTAACTTTTTAGCATGAGTCGTGACAGTGCTAAAATGCCAACGAATGAGTGTGTTTTGTTAGCAATAAGCGACTCTGTAACTTCAACAACTGAAGTTTAATAAAATATTAACCTTCAGCATCTATGAAACGTCATTATACTTTCCTTCACAACAGCATTTAGCTGCATATAAAGGGCTAGGTCCCTCACCACGTAATTGAAATTGTCTCAGTATTGTAAATATTATGTGAATTTACTTTTTTTGGCAATAGATGAAGCTTAAAACTATATATATTTTTTTATTTCCATGCCTCTTGAGTCCAGCTACTTTCCTTATTTTGAAGGCCAACAGTCCATATTCTTATTGTTTCCTGAATCCTTACAAACACTCTAAATATTCCACCCCTTACTGCTGAATATCCGGACTAAGGTTGAGTTATGAATGCCTATTGCTGTGTAGCAATATGGAAATTCATGTTTGCACGTGTAACCCATCACTGCATCCACCTCTTTTCAGGGTAAACCGTACTACTTTGACCGCGTGTTCCAGTCAGAAACAACCCAGGTGCAATTCTACAACGCTGTGGCTCAGAAGATTGTCAGGGGTAAGATGTACTGTAAAATACTGATGCTGTGTCAATAACTAACATACTAAAATACTACTAATACAAGCTTTAACCTCATTGTCCTATTTATTTTTCTTGATGTGTACAGATGTGTTGGAAGGCTACAATGGGACGATATTTGCATATGGGCAGACAGCCTCTGGTAAGACGCACACAATGGAGGTAATTGTCTTATCTTTTTTTACTACTGGACAAATATACAAAACAATTGTGACTGAAAAGCCAAAAATTCTATTAACATTTTTAATATAACTGTCTTCTAAAGGGGAATCTCCATGACCCAGCCATGATGGGAATCATTCCCAGAATTGTTCAAGACATTTTCAACTACATTTATTCCATGGATGAGAACCTGGAGTTTCACATCAAAGTATGTTAACATCTCAATCAGGTGCTCATATGCTTCCAAATGTCAGGAATAACACGTTATAAAGTGTCACTTTGCTTTGCAGGTTTCATATTTTGAAATCTATTTGGACAAAATCAAGGACTTGTTGGATGGTATGGTTGAAGCAACTTCTTCTCATTCAGACTCTAATGCTCACAACATAGATTCAGAACTGATGTTTCCTTTCCTTCTCCTCCACAGCCACAAAGGTCAACCTCTCGGTGCACGAAGATAAAAACAGGGTGCCCTATGTCAAGGTCGGAAACACGGGGGGTTTATTTTTAGGTTGAGAAATGTTATTTGGGTTGCAGCATTGATTGTTTCTGATGAAGTCACAAGTTTTTCCCTAGCCATTTGTTATAGATGGATAAATGAATATGATAAAAGCAACTGTGAACTGCAGGGTACGAAGAGGGCTACATAACCCAACATTTACAATCATTTTGTATTATGGAATGAGTACGTTTGATTTAGATGGGGATAAAGAGAGAATCGAAAATAAACCTAGAACATGTAGTTATTTTCTCTTTTTAACTTTCCCTGTGAAAGCATCAGCCTGATAAAGTAAGTCACGGTCTTTTGAGCTAATAATTGTCTTTCTGTGAAGCCAACCTGCTGCAGGGCTGCTGAACACAGCGTCTCCTTGTGATTGCATGTGTCTTCAGGGGTGTACAGAGCGTTTTGTGAGCTGTCCCGACGAGGTCATGGACGCCATAGACGAAGGCAAAAGCAGCAGACATGTGGCTGTCACAAGTGAGTTCACACACTGAGCGCCTTTAAGGCTGCTTCCTCTCATGGGTTCAACCTCACTGAGTCTCCTGACTGCAGCGAGACTCTCATCAGCCAAAACGCTTTGTGTGTGCAAGCCACATACATAACCAGACAGGAAAAGTGAAGTATATCTTATTCTAAACCCATGGCTTAATCTGTAGCTATCTAAGATTCATTTAGTCTTTGGTATATCTTCTAAAAATCCCAAACTCATTCAAATGCCGGCTGCTGTATACCACCTCCTTTTTCATGTCTTCAACCTTTGTACAGAACAGAGAGGTTTTAGAACAGCACTACAGCCCGCCTCTCACAGGGTGTGTTTTTTCACTTCTTTTTGCATCTGATATTTTCTGAAATGTAACATTTGTCATGATCTATTCTGTAAGCATAGGACATGACAATTTCAGTACCAATGCAA